CAGTTCTTTTTGGCGCCCAACGTGGGGCACGAAGGGTTGAGATAACGACAGATTTGACTGGATTAATAGTCATTCGTCACAATGCTGATTTATTGGGTATCAGAGTTGTTTCTCTTGATCTCACAGCTTCAGAATGTTGTAACTTACGTAGAGCCGGTATTTGCTGTGTTAGTGTTTATTAAGTGTGGGGCCTGGGCTAAGGTTCTTGTCTCACTATGCTTTATGGCAATGGCTTGTAATACGGGTGGGCTCCAGCAGCAGGGCGGGACGGACGTGGCCGTGGACTTGTACCTGGCCGTCCGGCTGCTCTTCACCGTCCTGGCCCTCGCCCTACTCGCTTGGGGGGCGAGTTATCGGTCAGCGGGTGGTGAGGTGTTGTATTCTGTTCCCTTGTTATTTCCTTTATCATTATTATCATTGGTGGTAGCAGTAGTGATTTGTGTTATACTTTAGTTACTAAACTGTTCTTATCTCAGCCCGTGGGAGTTGCATTCTTTTGATTCTCCTCTCCGTCCCTCCAAGAGCAGGGGGAGGGAAAGAAAGGGGGGGAAGTGAGCGAACGAATTACCTGACTGGGTTTAAACCACGACAATAACCTTTTGTTAACTGCATCTTTGGCCACACACTTATTTTCTGACTCCTCATCTTTGCTTGCCCCGGCTTAGGATGTACAGGATGCCATAGATATGGAAATTTATTTCTTGCCCTCCTCCAAATTCCTGATTCAATTAGGTGGTTTCAGTTACAGTTATATTACTCTGATAAAAGAATTCTCAAAACTAGGTTAGCCAAGGAGTGGTATGAAAAAGGCTTTATAGAAGTTGTCATTTGTGATGGTCTTGTGTTGTCTGCAATACTGCGGGAGGAAAAGATTCTAGAAATTTGCTGGGATTTAATTTTATTTAAAAGTCAAAATACAATGAGAAAACAGATGCTATCAGCAGCAGTTTCCACTTCAGAGCATCATGCAAGCCTGATTCTAGCAATGAGATCTTTGCTGTGACACTGAGCGTGAAAGGGTAGGAAAGTATTTTCTGCCTAGGGCAGCTCCTTCACGCATACACAACCCTTCCTTCTCACATATTGCTGTAAGCTCTTGAAGACTTTCTATGAAGCTCTGAAGGGAGAACCTTGTAGTCTATAAGGGACATCTTCATGCTGCACATATGGCCTTTATCCTCCCTGAATGCACTGCTGTCAAGTCACTGAAACGTGTTACATGTGCACTGGTGAGCAGGTGAGGTAGCTGACTTTGCTATAAGTCACAGTAGCACTCTGCAGAAGCTGGGCAGCAGAAGAGAAATTGACGTGCTCCTCTTTTACTTATTTCTTCTGGGGCTCTGACTGGGTCAAAATTTCAGAGTAGTTAAGTAAAATTTCAGTCTGTTTTCTCAAGAAATTCCTTTCTGGCAATGCATGCTTTACTTTCATGAAGAATTTTCCTGTGGATGTAGAGTTAATTAGAACTGAATAATGCTCATCTTCCTATAGCTGCAAGACTCTACCCACCCTTGTATGCTAAAAGTGAATCCCCATGTTAGTCCATGAAATAAACACCCAAAATTCTGTTTTTTTTCTTGCTTATGTAATGAACATGCTAGACATGGTTATATATAAAAAGAGGATAAAAAAAAAAAAAAACACTGATCTGTAATTATGTGATCTCATTTGGCATCTAACTATATGATAAGAAATCAGTGATTAAATTTCCATTCAAGGTCTTTGTTCATCAGTCACAAAACAAGTTCAGTAATTGCCCCTTAGTTATTGTGAGAACTGTGCCTTCATTATTACATTCCTAATTGTTTTCAGTTAAGGAAATCTATTTTTATAGATCACTCTGCTGCCTCTTTCAGACTGGGTGAGTCTCCATTTTTTTCAGTGTAGAAACCTAGGCCTATAGATTATGTTAAAAGAAATTCATATTACCCTGCTGGTATATGCAATTGGACCATACTGCATAAATAACCTGAGTACACGTTATATTTTGTTCTATGTTCTATGAGGCATCTCAATTCAAAATGTTTTATGAAAATTCACAGAACTTCCCAGCAGAGACCTGTAGTCTACCTGAAAGTGACAAGAGTTTCATCATCAAAGAAAAATCAGTTTTATGTTGTAACTGTGGGTGAGATAAAACCATCTTCTGTGTGGAAATGCCATATTTGTTGTCCAGTCGATTCCGCAGACAGAATGTGTATGGTTTTGACCACTAACTTGCAAGTTTCTTATCGGGAAATTTTCATTGTATCCCTTGAAGTGAATTAAACACGTTTGTGCTTAAATGTAAAAATTTTAATGCACATTGCACTGGACACCCTACCAGCATGTGCAGCTTTACAGGGAGTCTGAAAAGGTGTGTCATAAGCCAATTCCTTATGTGCACTTGTACAGGCACCAACCCCATGAGTGTCAGCAAAGGGTCCCTCAGGTAACATTGGATCCATGCAGCAGCCCAGCTCTGTTACTCAAAGATGGCCCCTGAGGTCATTCCTGGGTCAGAAATTACCAGTGCTGAGCTGCTACAATTTGAATTTCACCTTCACTTTACTGGTGTACACACAACACTTACAACTTGACTGCATATGCTAGCTTTCGAGAGGATTAGTAAGATGGCAGTTTTGTGGCAAAACAGCTGCTCTTTCAGCAGATTCTTTGAAGAATAGGGACACTAGAACTATAACCTGACAGTCCTTGGTGGAACTTTCTACCAGAGCCAAATCAGGTGCTTCCTGAAATCTAAACCACCCTTTTAGTATTAGTCCTGAATGATAATATCATGAATTAAGAGTTGTGGGGACTTTTTGGGAAAAAAAAAAAAAAAAAAAGGCAAAAGATATAAAACTCTGTTTGGAAATACGGACTTTAAATTAAGGAGCCTGTCACATATGCAGCAGTACTGGAAGAAGCTTGACATTCTAAGGCCTCTGATTATAAGGTGGTAGTTAGAGACATGTGAATTCTATGAAGTATCAATTACAGCTAAAACAATATATTCTGCAAATGTTTTCTACCTTTCATAGTTGTCCTTACTTGAGGGAGGGTGTTTTTTCTTACTGTTGTAACTGTTCTTAGTATGTTTTCCCCAATCATTCCATGTAGAAGGAGGATGTACCATCCTGACTTTAATGTGTTTGTTTCGAATACAATTTCGAGCTTATTAATTCAAATCATCATATTTTAGGTATGGGCCTGTTTGGGGTCTTTTGTGCTAAGTATCACCTTTTAAAAATTTGGAAAGTTTTTTTCTAAGTTTCAATTGACATTTTTAACAGATTAATTCCATTGAAAATGTTTGTCAGAAGTTGCAGTCTCTTTAAAATCAAATAAATATTGGTGTGTTGATCTGTACACACAAGTATATACTTGAGAAGAAAAATGCAAATCGGAACCCATCTCTAATAAGCATTCTATTGAGACAGAAATATATGGTTTATTTTTGAGTGAGCTACCTAGGAAATACATTCTCAAAATCAGTTTCACAGAGTTTCAGGGATTATCTAATAAACTGAAGATTTCAGGAGATTTGGGAATGATACAAGGTAGGATCTGAAATTTTGCAGATTACTCTTAGACCACTCATGGTGCAAATATGCAAACCTCCTATATCTAGCCATATTCAGTATGCTTTTCAGATTGCCTTTTGTTCCCTCACAAGGGGGTCACAAGTCAAGTTACTGAAGATGGGAAAATACACTTTTCTTTGTGCTAGCCAATAAAGCAACACCTATTGAGACATGGTTACTTGTCTTAATGCACCACTGTGATGTGTTCCTACAGAGATCATTTAATGATCTGAACCTAAAGCAAATATTTTGGGTGATCACCATAAGTTGTGTATTTTGCTATAAAGCAATTAAACCTGTGAAATTAAGATGAATATGTTGGTTGCACTATACACATTGTGATAAGGCTAGCTCTCTAGTTAGTATAGCAGTACTGTACTTAGACTATCTCTCCTCATGCTTCAAGGGTGACAGGTAATTTCACACTTCCAGAGAACTGAGTATAGCAAGTCCAAAGTTTTATGACTTAAGACATTTTCAAAGTGGTGAGGAATAAACAAAAATTTTCAGTCACAATATGTCAATTCTAGATACATATATTTATAGGTGTATAAATATGTAAGCATACATTTAAATATATACATGAGGTGAGCAATGGTTGGCAAAGGTAGGCTACCATAGGAGTAATCTTCTTCCTAATCTCAGAAAAATATGTGACAGTTCTCTGTCAACAGTGCTATGATGTCTTGAACTTAAGGGTGAAATCCTCCAACACTATAAGCTGCTATCAATTTTCTCAAATCATTCTAGATTTCGAGAAAAAGTTTCTGCTCCAGAGATTCTTTCACATTAGAGTATGAGAAAGGATTGTTTTATAATAATACGTGAAATTAACAGAAGTTAGAATGGGAAAAGACATCAAAGTTTTCCTGTGCAAAATAAGATGGTCCCAGTGCTCAGTCTGTAATGCTTTCTCCAATGTATTGACACCAGTATTGGTAAAACAGGAGAAGTTCAGTTGTTATATTCCCCTTCATTCCAAAAAAGCTGAGTAAGAGGTTGCTGCAAGCTATGTTATTTTCTGTCATCTGTAAGACTGGTATTTATTTTTGAACTATTTGTTACTGCTGCTGCAGTAACTAATGCTGCAGATGGAGTACAAAATATTGTTGATTCCTGCTTCATAAAATATTTGATTTAGACAGATTTCTTGCTAGACTTCGTAATGCAAAATAAGCTGAAATCCAGGTCGGGAGGCTGCAGTGGTCAGGAGTGTGTTTTACAGTGGACCTTCTTCTCAGAAACCTCAAAAGAGGAACTGAAGGACTGAAAAAATTACACTCATCTTTTGAAGGTAGCTTTATGTCAGCAAGGAGCATGCTGTTGGTACTAAAGAAGCTTGCAAACTGTGCTAAGTAAAAGATTTCAGATAACAGGATTTTTTGTCTTAAACTGAATTACAGAAGTTTTAACAGGTGTATCTTATTTCCAAAGGTGCAGCAATTATCTCCAGGACTTGAACCCACTGAGTCTTAAGGTACATTATTTTTACTTTCCATGGCAATACAACTTGATCTAATATGTTTTGTGTTAATGCTTGTGGTTATGTTTCAAGAAAGTTAAAAATGAAATGGTTTTAATCATAAGTTTACAAGTTAAGATTTTTTTTTCATATGTAGAAGAACTGGGATGTATATTGTATTCTTTTCATTGACCGATGTAAGTTGATATATGACAGGCCATATATCTCACCATTGTTAAATGGATAAAACAGGCTTAACTGATTCACGGGCTGGTAAGTTTTGCTCCATTTTGCGGCTTCCACTCTGAAGTCATGAAATCTGAAATAGGTAGGAAAGCATAGGACAATTTCTGCATTTTATGAAGCCTTTTGTTATAGAAACTTAGTTTGGACAGAACGTGTATCAAAGCTGGAGTTTCTGCAACTCATTGTTTTAGAACTTCACCTTTCCATTTTATATAAAATGAGGTTTTAGATCTAAGACTATGGAGGGGAAAAAAAGAGGAATTTTAGAGAATTAGGAATTTAGCAAATAAAAATGCAGCAACTTTTGAAATCAAAAATATCATCTCTATTTTTAGTGTTTGATTTTATGGTTGCTGCTGCTCTTTGTTCATGTCTGTGGATTCTTGTGGACAGGGAGTGAGAGTATAGAGAGGTTAGAAAGCATACATGCATGCACCTGGAGAGCTAATCAGTGAATTCTTCGGTGTCTTTTTTATATTACTTGTTAGCCTCCAGGTATGCTTGCTCACACACTTCCACTCTTCAAGGTTGAAAAGACTATGAGGAGTCTCTGCTCTCCCCGGCCCATGCTAGATTTATTAGTAAAGGTCTCCTCCCCTCTTTATGTGCGTGTTTCCAGGTGTCTTCTGGTAAACCCACCGTCATTATTAGAAACAATAAGTGTCCATGTTCAGAACTTTTGCTCATGCAGTATCTCCAATGAGACTGGGATGTCACAACTGTTTCATGAAGCAAAAGATTTGCACATACAGGTAATATGCTTCATTCATGATCCACTGGAGTTGCTGCTACTGTTCAGAGCAGTTGGCAGCTCCTCTGATGCACCCCACATCAGTCACTGTAGAAACATCTGTTTTCATTCCACCAACAAGCAGTGAACTGACAAGCAGTAAAAAAACAGCCATCAGCCAGTCATAACACTTTTTATCCATCAGTGATAGAAAAATTCCTGTTTCCAGTGTTGCTACCTGAGTATTTCCACCTAGCTGGCATGCTGCTTTTACCTTCAGATTAACTTCTGATAACTGCTAAATATGTGATTTCACTGGGTTTGGACCAATTTTCAGTAGGTGACTATCCTAGTAATTTTAGATTTGGTTAACGTATTTTGTTGGCTAGTCAGGGAGGACAGAAGTCAAACAGGTTGTGGGGAACAGCCATGTTACTCTCAGGGTTGCATATTCTGCCATGCAACAATTAGCTGGTATCAGTCTTCCAAACCAATAACCAGGACTGCAAATGCAAATGATGCTCCTAAAACAGAAGACATTTGTAGCCAGTAGCCTTTGCATTTGATGTTTGAAACTGACCTGTGAGCATGCATACACTATAGCCACCCCTAAATATGTATCAGTACAACACTGAATTTTGTTTCACCCTATACTGTAGCTTCAAAAGTCTCCTAGACATACAAGGATTCAGATGGCACCTTCACACTACTTTCTTTTGGAAGCCCCCGCTTTCTCTTCTAGCACATTCTCACTTTACTCTGTGTTTTGTTGCTACTGCTGTTAATACCTCTGTCACAAACCCACTGAAAGTACTGAAAATCCAGTACCAGTATTTAAAACAAGTCATCAGAACTGATGTTTTATTGATTGCTATGTTCTTCTCGCTCCAGTAGATGTTTCACCACACTTTGCCTGTGATCTTGATTTAAATAGTAGACCTTTGTGTCAGTTAGCGTCTTATACATTTATATGGTGTGGCACAAAAGAAACTCTTTGTCCTGGGTTCAGCAGTAGCAGTTATTTTTCTCCTTCTTGGTAGCTGGTGCAGTGCAGTGTTTTGACTTTCAGCTCAGGAACAGAGCTGATAACAAGGATGTTTTGGTTTGGCCAAGGACTTTGTGAGCCTCATGCTGTGCCAGGGAGGAGGGGAAGCCGGGAGGAAGCAGAGACAGGACACCTGACCCAAACAGACCAAAGAGGTATTCCATACCACAGCACGTCATGCCCAGGATGTAACTGGGAGTTACCCGGAAGGACACGGGCTTCTGGGTCAGACTCATTTCTTGGCCGGTGGTATTGTACTCTCTTCCCTTGTTGTTTTCTCTTATCATTGTTGTCGTTGGTGGTAGCGGTGGTGACTTGTTTGTACATTGGTTGCTGGACTGTTCTTGTCTCAACCCGTGGGAGTTGCACTCTTTCGATCCTCCTCCCCGTTCCTCCGGGAGTGGGGAAGGGGAGAGCCCCGGGGGGAAGGGGGGACCCTCTATTGCTCTCAGCCCGGCGCCACTCACTGTGAGTGAGTGAACAAGATGTCTGGCTAGGGTTTAAACCACGACACTCTTATGCCGTCCTCCTTTCCCATCGGCATTACTGGGAAAAAAAAAAAAAAAATGGAGAGAGAACTCTGAGTATCTCCTCACAAATTATACAGAGTCAGCCAAAGAGCAGTTTCCCAAATCCCTAATTTCTTTCTTCGAGACCTAGGCATAGTCATGCCATTGCAAAACAAGACTAGCAAAATGCTAATACTGCAGTTTGAAATGTGGTTCTCAGACCTGAGCAGGATTTCAGGACATCAGAGAGTCTAAGCTCCCAAGGAGCAGAGACAGGGCAGACTGCTGCCACCAATAATATCATGAAGCCTCTCAACATGTGGAAACTGGGTTCTGCTTCAGTCACACATACCTGAACAAAGACAATGCAAAATATAACCCTTTCATTTATAAATTTTGTGTTCATAATGGTGGAAAGGCAACAGAAGGTGGAGGCTTGTGAGTGCTTTGCTTCTTTGACTTTACTGACTGTCATTAAATAGCACACTTAGATATTTGTTCTGTGGGACTGTGCTTTTAAAAGTATTCTCCAGATTTTAGCTTTACAGTCTCCTCAGTGTTATTACCTCAGTTCACTTTCAAAAATTGTACTGTGGCAATGGTAAAAATGAACAAGTAGAGAATGAAATTGATGTTAGATATTAAACCTGTCTGCTTAATAGGGTTCAGGGGGAGTTAGTTATACTGGCATGTTCTTTTTGTGCAAATTCTTTGTTTAAATGCCAGTTTTGCTGAATGTCTGTGACTTTAAAAGTCACAGCTAATATTATTGCACTGAAAACACTGTCTTAACAGAGTAGAGACAAAATAAACTTTCTTCAACCCCAATAAAACAATGCTATTATTACACAGGTTACACTTATGTGTCTCAAGGTACTGCGAAGTAAGCAAACTGTTGCTGTTTTTTCATTCTTTTGACCATTTTATAGGATTTCACAGAATCACAGAATGGTTGAAGTTGTCAGGCATCTCTGGAGATAGATTATTTCAATGCCCCTGCTCAAAGAAGGACCAGCTAGAGTAGGTTGCCTGGGACTCTGTGCAGTCAGGTTTTTAGTATCTTCAGGGACGGGGACTCCACAATCTCCTGGGAAACCTGCTCCAGCCTCACACAAAAAATTGGTTTTTTATGCTCAAACAGAATTTCATGTACTTTGGTTTGTGGTTGTTGCCTCTTGCTTTTTTTCACTGGGCACTGCTGGAAAGAATTTAACTCCACCTTTTTCAGTGGACTTGGGTTAGCAGCTTTTGCCTGTTCCTCCATCACTGGTATTTAGAGACAAATAGACCTCATTGGCTTAGGTACTGTTATTCGCTTCTTTTTCCAGTCCAAGTTGCCTAGTTTTAAGCAGTTTTCTTTTTCTTTACAGAAGTGGTTGGCCAAGATCAGGCATAAGTTCTTATCTTAATAACTATTTCATCCCAGTTTCCCTTATTCTGACTCAGGAATGCTCCTGCTTATGTATTAGCAAATTCTAGTTTCTGGAGATCTTACCTTTATCCAGCTGATTTATCCTATTACCTTCTGTCTTTCTCAGTTGCATTACAGATCGAAGTGTTTCAGTTTGGCCATATAAATCCTGAGGCATTCAAATCTGAAATCTTAGATGATTGTTCTCTTTGCACTATAAAATACAAAAATATCATGCAAATATAGAGGAATATCTGGAATAGTTAACTTTAGCCAAATGCAAACTGACATATCCTAAGGATTTTACGGCCACAATTGAATAAAACTTTTCCATTGTCTTACTGGAAGATGTTCCTAAAAACTTTGTGTCTTCTTTAGACTCCTTTATGTGCCTATGATATTACATTTTTAAGGAAATCTTTCTTGCAGCCCTGTCAGAGATTTTATTACGGAAATCACAACCAAAGAAAAGCATCCTTTCCCATGTATTTTGAGTTTGGTAGGAGATTTATTCTAAGACCTATTAGTGTATTCCTTCCTCTGTCTCACTAAAATTCAGTTCTGCATTTGATCATGAAGAACCATACATCAATCAGTAACTGATCTGCATGCACTGGATTGGATGGAAAAGATCCATTAATTTCTCAATGCAAGATACTCAATTTTCAAAGTACATTCCACTAACTTCACATTTCCTGCATACATCTGACCTGGTGTATGATGGGAGATCAGAACTATGATTCCTGATCATTTATTGAGGTACATTCCTAAAACTCTGGACATGGTCACTCTCCCATTTGAAGTCATGGAAGATACGGTATGTGTTGTACACTTGGAAACTTTGGTATTCATGGTGATGCATCATGCCTCAGATGCACTGAACTCTAACATTAAACTGGGTTAAGTGCAGTTGTGTCCCTTATTTAGAAATAGCTTGAATAGCAGTTTCTCTTTCAACCTGCCAGTTTCAGCTCAGTTGTTGCAGTCTTAACAAATTTTATTTGTTGATAAGTTATACTCTATGTTAACCCAGTAGTGAAATACTTTGCAAAATTAGACAAGAAATTTTCTATCTTTTTACGTAGGATATTTATAGATTTTGATAAAATGTTTTTATTTTTACTTTGCATACATATGTATGCACGCTTACATCTGTGCACATATTTCCCTGCTGTCTATTAAAAAAACAGATGCAACTCTTGACAAGGAAAGTTAGGAACATCCAGAATTTTTGAGATGTTTAGGAGCAGTGCTTAGTCAGTCTGTATATTTCAATAGGGACTGAAATAAAAAGTTGAGATTGCTAAGGAAAGCCTAGATCAGTGTATCTTCTGGATGATCTGGCATGATCTGGATGCTGTCTGATATACCCCATGATAGCTGTGAATTGAACTGAAGATTTCAGTGGTGGAGAACAAAGATGAGAAAAACATCTTTATTAGATAAATTCAACTCACCTAAATTAATCATCATTTTAGTGAAGCAGGTAGATGCACTGTAATTTAATGTCTGAAAAAAAAATAAAGGTTTAGAGATTGTAACAAAATTATTGACTCGTACTTAGAATGCTAGGAAATTTTGTCAAGAAACCTTAAAACTATAAAGAATCAGAGGGCTAGACAAAATTGTAAATATCCCTGGCTACATGAAAACCATGTTGAAGTATGGTACCTCAATACTTCACTTGTCTGCATGTCTTTTCTTAGTAAAAAGAAGAGCACATGATTGGTGTGGGTTTGCCTTGCATCCATTTACAGGTTGTCTTTCTGTAAGAATGGTACTTAGCAAAGTTTTCATGGAACAGCTAGTCAAAATTTTACTGAATCCTTTCCATGACCTTTCTCAGGTAAGATTCTTGGTGGTTCAGGATATAATCTTCCTTTAGAAATTCATATGAAACATGACTTAAAGGTCTATGTATAAAAAGCTGAGTTTGTTTTGTTGTTGTTGTTTGGTTTTTTTTAATTTAATATTAATCCTGACAGTTTTAATGGATCAATAAGCACAGCACAGCTTCATATATTTAGCAAAACCAGGTTTTCTGGAACATGAGCTTCACAGTTTCTGGTCTTGATGTTTACCACATTATATTTATAGGTTTGTACTCACTCCTTTATAATGTAGTCATCAACTAAGTGCTGATAGTTCCTCATCTCAGGACATAGTTAAATATATTTCAACAAAAAAGTAAGGATATCTGTGTCTTCCAGGTGTGTTTCAAGCACTTTGAGTATGGTGCCATGAGAGATGCTGTTGTCCATGACAGGTTGGGATTATCATGATCAAGTGCTCTATTTTGATTTCACCCAGTGGCTAAAAGATTTGTGTGGCAAAGAGGAAGTGTTGGACTTTTAAAAGCATTAAACAGGTAAGTCTATTCAAATCAGTTTGTTTACTGACAATTTCCAGGCTTATTTCAATTGCAGGTGTTTTTTGAATCATACATCTCTGATTCTTTCTAACAGGGTTCCCTCTGAATTTATCATTTCACAGTAATAGCTGTGGCTTGAAACAAAAGTTTGCTACTAAGTGCAATTTGATAAAGAGCAGGTTAAAATATAATTTCAGTCACATTTCTCCAAACAGAAGGGAAACACAAAAAACATTGCACTGAATTGTTTTAAAGCAGATACTTGTTTCATTTTATTCGTCTAGAGTATTTGCACAATCCTATCTAACCATCCCAAAAAAATCTATATTCCACAAGCACAAATGCAAACAACCATTGCAATTTCAGTTCTAAGCAGCAATTTATTTTGTGCAGTAAGCTGTTTTATTTACAGAAAGCATGTTTTTTTTCAAAAAGGGACTGACTTATTTCCCTTACCCAGTAGCATTGCACCACTGTGAAAGAAATGGAAAAAATATGAATGAGGCTAGCATAGGAATTTAGTGGCCACTATGTAAGTTATTGTATTGGAATACTGTTAATTGTATGAAGGTTGGGCCTGAGTGCATGTTTATTTCAAGGTTATTTTAGCATAATATTTTGTTTTATTAGTACATCCTAAGAATTCTCTTTATTCTTCAAATAAGACTCATGTTTTGGTCTCTAAACAATGTATCTCATTCTTTATATTGATCTCTAGAAACCAGGTAATCTAACATAAAGCAGTGTGCTATGGACACTTTTGAACATTACCAAAAATAATTCTGTCTTGTCTGATTTTGGTGGATGTTTCACAAGGGAGGGAGAAAACAGTGAACAGTTTGGTTTGCTTCTTTTTTAAGTATGCTGCTGTAGCTTTTCTCTTTTCAAGCCAGAATCCTAGAAACAATGCAGCAATATGGCACTCTGGGAAAGAACTGAACTGATGGATGGAGACTGGTATGGAAGCCATGCTTGTGGCTGATTAAGGGTTTTCATATCCATATTTTCCTTTTTGGTTTGGTAAAGAATAGGGAGCGATGTTTTATTTTCTAAGGTTGTATTCAAAACTGTCTTGGAATATCTCTAAGGCAGCAGTAGATACCACTGCATGAATTCCAAACTAATGCCAATATGATCTGAATATATCATTTGTGTCAGGAAATAGTAGAGCAATGTTTAGGTGACACCATACCTTGTAATTTTGACTGATTCCAGACATGGTAAACATTAGCTTAGACATAAGTGCAGGAAAGTGATCTTTACATTTATTTTCCCAGACATCTAGTTATAGAGTACACTCAGATAAAGAAATTTCAGGTATATCTGTATCTATATCATAGCTGCACTACCATTGTGTTCTGCCTCTTTCCAAAAAAAAAAACTTTGCAACAGAATTATTTTTGTACCAGATGGGAAAAGTACGTTTTATTAGCTATTTAGTGCTGCAGCTGAGTTGTCCTCTGAATTTGAAGGTAGTGATTTAAGAAATAGGCTTTTTTAAAATATTTTTACCACCATGAAACACTCTGCTTTTTAACCTTAAAAAACTCAGAAAAGAAAGAAAAAATGAATGGACTAATGACTAAAATGAGATGACTGCCAGTTTCAAAAACAAAGTGTTGCAGCTTAACTTTGAGATACAGAATTGGGAATTGTTATGCTGATATACAGTGATAAAAAAAAAAGAAATGTAGGAATGTATTTGAAATGGCATCTTATTCTGGGTTGTGTTTCTAGCTTCATGTTACTTTTCCACAGAAATCTCAGCCTGATAAAATATTCTACTCCTAGGCCTGTATTTCTCATGGTAACTTTATTCTGATGATGGACATATATCATCTCTATGTCATCTGATGATTGATACACATATAGAGTTGGAATCACTGTTGAATTAGGATTGTTTATGCTTTGTTAATCTTCATCTCCTTACAATCCAGATTTTTATTTTTAGATTTATTTTTAGAATAAATTATACTATTTAAAAGAAGTCAACACAGATAACTCTAAATTATACTGCTAAATTTTAGGAGTATGTGGTAAATGGGCAAGAGGCAAAAGAAATATAACATTCTTGTTTTGCCTTTCAGAAAATACTGCTTTTTCTTTCTGCTGTCCCTCATTTGTAAAAGTCTTCTGTAGCCTCTACTGTAAAAACTCAGTATATTTATAACATCATTACATTTATCTTCTCAGTAAGTGTTCAGATTTTTCTCCATTTACATCAAAGGCTAAATGATGTTTCCAGCTTCATATCTTCCCATGCTACTCTGCTGGCTGAATACATGGGCAGAAAACTGTGAGCTTTACAAACAACTAATTCTGAAATTGCATTACTAGCCAAGAAAAAAAAAATTGTTTGTTAATCGAAGACCTGTCATGACTTCCAATAAACTTCTTTCTGTGCTCTACAAAATCTTGCCCTCCAAATGTCATCCTTAGACTTTTGTTACCTGCCAAATTGAGATCTTCATATTTTCCTCTCAGTTTTTGCATAATGGTACATGCACTTGGTGTCTTGTGAAGGCTCAGTGCTTTTTTAGGGACTGGAGGGAGAGCAGGGCAACCCTAGCCACCTAATGCACAACCAAGATATTTTTGTAAGAGGCTGTTTTCAGTGCATGGAAGCTTAAAATAACTCCTCAAACAGTAAAAATAAGACATTGCTTTTTAGAGTGCTTTATTTTGTGGGGAATCTTTGCAGAGAAAAGATGTTTTCTATAGTTTGGTGCAATAGAAGTAATTGCTAGCATATGAGAAGTAAAGGCTTTGTCAGGAAGTTTCAGTGTTCTTATGACCTGCTTATAAAATTATTTCACCAAGCCTAAATCAGAATTATCTTACTCTGTTTCAACAAGTATATACCTGTGAAAATTTCTGCATAATAAAAATTAAAGCATAATACTACTATGCATGGCAAACTCAGAATATTTCCATGAAATGTAAAGCTTTCCAAAAGGTGATAAGTTCATATCAAGAAAGCTTTGCATTTACCATTTGAAACAAAGAAAAATGTGATATGGAAACTACCTAAGTACACTGTGCTTTCTGGAAAGGCCTGAATAAAAATACACATTTATGTCTAGAGGTTTTAAGTGACTGATAATAGCACCACATCCTTCCTTCAGGGTTATTATGAGTGTGTAATAGGCTGATAACTCCAAGACAATGGGAGACTGTTTACAGTAGTCTACTTACAGTATGATATGAGAAGTGAGCATGTCTAGGAGTTCAGGGATAAATTGATCAAGGTTTGGTTGTTGCTCATTTGATTTTCTGAGCATATTTTGAACTTAGCATACTCAGTGCTATTGCTACAACTTTGTATTCCTCCCCATTTCTTCTTTCTTCTGACACTGAAGTATTTTTAATTATTCTATTAAATAACTTGTGTTTTCTTAATTTCATTTAGAGACTAGTGTCTTCCTGGAATACACGGTTGCTAAACCATATAAATACTCAAAAATATAAGGTTCATCTTTTATCTAAGGTATTCTGTGATCTGCAGTGGGGAAAAAAAAAAAAACAGTACTTAAAGGATTGTCTTAAGAATCAGAAGGCAAACCAAGTGAACCTAAAATCCATTGCAATTTTTATATTTAATTGTCATTATATTGTTGGTCTCATGAACTAGGGGCACTGTAAGCCACATCTTTAGGTTTCTGAATCACAGAACGTTTTGGGTTGGAAGAGAACTTAAGACCATTTAGCTCCAAACCCCTGCCCTGAACAGGAACACCTTCTACTAGACTAGGTTGCTCAAAGCCCCACCCAACCTGGCCAACACTTCCAGGGATGGGGCATCCACAACTTCTCCATGAAACCTAATCCAGTGCCCCACCACTCTCATAGCGAAGAATTTCTGATTTAAATCTACCCTCTTTGGTTTAAAACTATTCCCCCTTGTCCTATCATTGCATGCCCTTCCAAAAAGTTCCTTTTCGGGTTTCTTGTAGGCCTGTTTAGGTACTGGAAGGTGCTCTAAAGTCTCCCTTAAGCCTCCTCTTCTCTAGGCTGAACAAGCCCAACTTTCTCAGCCTTTCTTCATAGGAGAGGTACCCCAGTACTCTGATAATCCTCATGGCCCTCCTCTGGACTCTCTCCATAACAAGTCCTTGTTATTCTGGGGGCACCAAAGCTGAATGTAGTACTGCATGTGGGGTCTCCCAAGAGCAGAGTAGAGTGGGAGAATCCCCTCCCTCAACCTGCTGGTCACACTCCTGTTGACGAGGATACGGTTGGCTTTCTGAGCTGCAAGCTCACACTGCCAAGTCGAGCTTCTTGTCAACTGATACCCCCAAGTCCTTTTCCTCAGGGCTGCTCTCAGTCCATTCTTCACACAGTGTGTATTTTTTCTTGAGATTTCCCCAACCCAAGTACAGAACCTTGCACTTGGCCCTGTTGAACTTCGGGAGCTTGACATTGGCCCTCCTTTCCAGCCTCTCAGGGTCCTGGCATCCCTTCCCTCCAGCATGTTGACAGCACCACAAAGATGTTAAACAGTGCTTCTCCCAGTATCAAGTGGAGGTCCCGCCTCAGGATTCCGTATCCACCAAATGGTCCATATATTTAATCCTTATTCCTCCAGTTTAGAGAGAAGGATGTTGTGCAGGACCTTGTCAAACGCATTGGACAAATCCAGATAGATGACATCAGTTGCTCTTCCCACATTCACCAACACCGTAGCCCCATCACAGGAGGCCACCAAATTTGTCAGGCATGATTCACTTTTGGTGAAGCCATGCTGGCTGTTAACAAGTTGCCTTCCCCTTTTCCATGTGCCTTAGCATAGTTTACAGGGGGATTTGCTACATGATTTTGCCAGGACTGAGGTGAGACTGACTGGCGTGTAGTTTCCTGGACCTTCCTTTCTTTTGCTTTTTAAAAATGGGAGTTATGTGTCCCCTTTTCCAGTCAACAGGAACTGCACTGGCCTGACACAGCTTCTTAAATGTGTGGCTTCGCTACTTCATCTGCCAGTTCTTCATCAGTGACTGTAC